ATCGATCGATCTATCAACAACTTTATTTTACTTCGAATGTCCTGATAGTTTATTCCCTGGCCGGCTGGCGCTGGTCTGTGGCCTCGGTTCAAGCGTACTACATCTCCGCCCAGTTTTTCAGTACCTCGTTAGAGGGTCTGGATGGGGTTGAAGGAATGTGGGTTATCAGTCAAATTTCCGGCGATTTCTCAGCTGTCAGTTAATGCTTCGACTCATTCCTCAGTTGTCAGTCCCGGGGGTACATCCTATAACGGCCTACAAGGAGAGGCTCCGCCCAAAAGGGTACCTTTTTCAGGCTTCTTGTAGATAAAAGGAATGGGATATTACAAGCTGAGGTATGTGAAAGGGTAGGGAAATCTGTCATCTAGGTGTAACGTGAACGGAATTGATTAAATGTAAACATCTCTTCTGTCAATGTTTGATGCCATCCTGCAGTAGTAACATTAATTTCGCTCCCAGAGTTTAGAAATGGGATGAAGTAGGTAAGTAAAAGGGATACCTTTTTTCAATAACAGGTATATATTTCTGTCAAAATGGTGTACAAAAGGGTAAGGAATTGGGCTTCAGGGTGGAGCCTACCCATACAAAACCTTGTAGAGTACTCCCTCCACCTCCCCCTACCTCCCGGGCTGTCAGTAAGCCTTGGACACCTCAGATCATAACAATCAGTTAAAAATGCCTCATTTCCCACCTGACTATTAAACGTTTGGCCAAATCTCAGCTATCATATGAACCCCATTTAGAATTCTCTGAGGGCTTGTGAAGGTTGTTGACTAGATCCAGATAATCCTAAATCTACCAGGATCTGGCACCCTTGTATTGTGTGTTCTCCCTTTGAGAAATTCAAGTGCTCTTTTCAAATTACAGATAAAATTCAATCCAGTGCCCCGCAGCATGCTATTCATTACTGTTTATACCTCCCCCTGACTAAACTGTCCCAGGTAGTTAGTTGCAGGGGGATAAACTGCAAGAAGCCCTTCTTTTTTCTTAGTCCTTCAAGCATGAAGGGTGAGAAAGAGCAAGACAATCTCGTTCCCACAGCCTGTGAATATTTGGTTATAACCAATAAAGAAATATCTCTGGGAGAAATTGGAAAGTAAGCCAACATTAGTCAAAGCTGTTACTCTCTACTCACGTTCAGAAACCGATCTTTAACCTTAACGTAGGTGCACAATCAAACCCAGATCAAGAATTTCTGGTTCTCGGAGCATACAGTAAAAGCGACCTAAAAACTACATGTACTAAATTTATGGAATCCTATTAACTCAAAAAAATTTGATTATACGATCTACACTTTTGTTTTGTAGTTGTTCACATGCAGTCATGTCAATTACCGGTAGGTCATGACTTTGTCGTTTCATTTGGTTTGATTTTGACTCTTCCTGTAAAAATCCAGATGAAATAAACTTTGAGAAAATCCAAAACTACTTATGTTAGCTCTTGCAAGCACCATTTTCTAATTATCCATCATAAAGTCCAAGATGGTAAAATTTCATTAGCCTTCAGTGTCAGTCTTCTTCTCCATCTGCATCAGACTCATTCTGTGAAACACTATCATCATCTTCACTCTTTGAAGATTCCCCTTTTCCCTTTTCTTCAAGGTACTTCTTCTTCAATTTTTTCTCCTCTTTCAATTGTAGCTGGATCTCTTCTTTTGTGAGATATCTTTTGGTACAACGCCTGTTAATGGATTAATCGGCATGTTTCTTTTCTTCTCTTTCTTTGCTTGTCAGCTTTCCCAAGCCCGCGGCATTTGGAGCACTGTCCACCAGCATAATGAAATAACTGACATTTCGAAGAAAATGCTCCATTTTCTGGCAGAATTTCATCATTGCTTAACGATCTGAAGATTCCAGCCCTGTTAGGAGTCATAGCTATAATTACACCATCTCCAGATAAACGGTAGCCTGAACACAGTTGTAAGTTTTCAGCAAACCTAATTATAGTCTCTGCTTGTGATTTAATTGGTAAATCTTGCATCACTTTCTCAATATTCAGGTGTCTTAAGTTAAGCTCGGATCCATGGGACTTAATCAAATAAGTCACATTTTGTTCCATTGATAATTCTATCACTATCTCTGTATAAATCCGTTGGTTGTCAAATTCCCACGTCCCAGGGCGTACAAAGCTTATCCTGTTTCGTCTGTCCACTATCTTGAACCAGCCCTTTGGCAGGATGAGTGAATCATCTTGAACTAACTCTTGAAATTCTTGGTTCAAATCAGGATGCGAAGCCCGTGCTTGATTTTGTTTATGAGCAACATTCAAAAAACAGCCCTTCACATTGTTCCTTGGACCTCTCTTGGCTTTCTTGACTTTTTCACCGCAGGTGTCTCTAACAACCAAAGCCAAGGAATGTGACGTCAAAGGCACTGCTATTTCTAAACTCTCTCTCTCCTTGTCAGCCTTGCCAGCTTTACAAGGCAAGATTCCAATTTGCATGCCCTAGGCTGCAGTTAGAATGTTAAACAGAGAGTGTTAAATTCGATTAGAGTGTTAAATAGGCACTTTCTATGGTGTTTCGCTTCAATGAATAACCTACAATCTTTGATTTCTTGCAGTCTGGACAGTATATACCAGTTAGTCTTAAAGTAGATTAATTCGCTTTTATAAGCTATTCAATCTAGAGTGTTAGCAAGTGGGCTATTAAGTTGAAGTTTTGAAATGTTCCAAAACATTAAACACTTTGTCTATCTACGGCATGTACTGGATAGTGTAACCTTGAAGCCATACTAGGCAAAATATTGCACTGACCAAGTTTGAGGGACATAGCAATGCTCAAAAATTTCCAGTGGTCACACTGAAGTCGTAAGGCCACATAAAAATTTTATAGACAAATGTCTG